AGTGGCGCCCTAGTGGTGTCAACCTTTTTCCATTTCATGCAACATGGTAATCTTATGACAGCTGATCTAACAGGAGTTAAGGGCCCCATTCCCGCTCCCAGTGGATGAATCCACACTCCATAATCTCCTCCTGCCGACAGGCCCCGCCGATCCGTCTCAACTAAAAAAGTGAATTACTGTCTGGTCCCCACAAGTGATCCCAGCTCATCACATTTGCTCCACAGTTAGCAGGTGGTGCCGCCAATGTTTTTCCAGATCTCTGAGTAGAGAGTATCAGTTGCCAGGTGCCTTTCCTGGGTAAGTGCCTTTGAAAAAGAAAGGTCATAGGGCTAGCATTTCTGCAGTGAGTCTTCTCCTTTGTTTACTAGTTAGGGGAAGGTTACTCACCCTGTGCAGTAACTGGAGTTCTTCAAGATGGTTGTCCCCGTGGGTGCTCCACCTTTAGGTGCGCCAGCACCGCTGCGCCCACAAGTTGGAGATTCGTGGTAGCAGTGTTCCCCCCAGCTGGCCGTGCATGCAAGGCTCAGGCTTGAGATGCCTGGAGTGCATAATGCACATGCACAGCCAGTGAGCGCCTCAGTTCTTTTCTGATCTGGATCCAAACAGTGGGGAGGAAAGTGGGTGGTGGAGCACCCACAGGGACAACCATCTCAAAGAACTCCAGGTACTGCACAGAGTGAGTAACCTTCCCTTCTTCTTTGAGGAGTGCCCCCATGGGTGCTCCACCTTTAGGTGACTACAAAGCAATATTAGTGCTTGGAGGTGGGACCTTCAGAAGGCTTGTTTCGGCTACTGAAAGTACCGAGTGGCCGAATCAAGTGTGAGAGTCTGCATACGATTGGCTGGCGTAGCGATGAGCGAAAGTGTGAGCAGAAGCCCATGTAACTGCTCTGCAGATCTTGTCCGTGGGGATACCATGGAGGAAAGCTGTGGAGGCGGCCACTGCCCTTCTGGAATGGGTACGTACGGCCAAAGGAGGCTGTTTGTTGAATATGGTGTAGGCCAGTCTTGTGCAATCTGAGATCCACTTGACAGTCTCTGGAGATCAGCCCCTGAGATCTTTCTGTGGAGGAGACAAACAATTGAGACATTTTGCAAAACGAGTGTGTTCATTGCCAGTAAAAGGCCACCGCCCTGCAAGGGTAGGAAGAGCCCTTTCCCTGTTGTCACTATGAGGTCTGGGAAAGAAGACGGGAAAGTAAACTGGCTCATTACAGTGAAACGCGGTAAGTACTTTGGGAAGGAATTTAGGATGGGTTTAGAGGACCATCTTGTCCTTGTGAAAAACCATATAGGGTGGATTGGTCATAAGCGCGCCCAACCCTTTGTGCGGAGGTAATACCCATGAGAAAGACCACCTTCATACATAGGTGGAGAAGGGAGCACGTAGCTAGCTGTTCAAACAGTTTGCCCGTTAATGCCCTTAGCACAAGGTTATAGTCCGATGTGGGGACTAGATTCTTTACTTGGTGGGAATGTATTGTACAAACCTCACAGAAATCTCTTGATTGATGAATGGGTGAAAACAGAATGATCCTGTATGGGCGGGTGGAATGCGGATATGGCTGTGAGGTAGGCTCTGATGGAGCTGAGGCACAAACCTAGTTGTGAAGGTGTAGTAAGTAGGCAAGTATGAGTGGGATACCAGTCTGAGTGGTGGTGCAGTGTCGAGTGGAGCACCAACTGGAGAAACGCTACCACTTTTGAGTGTACGTTTTTCTCGTTGCAGGTTTGCGGCTGTTCGTGAGAATAGTTTGAACTTCTGGAGGACACTGGATCTCTGGCGTGGTTAGCCAGCAAGGAGCCATGCATGCAGGTGAAGATACTTGATGGCAGGGTGGCGAATCTTCCCATTCTGTTGCGTGAGCAGTGACGGAATGGGAGGGAAGCGATGTGGGGGATTCATGGCTATCTAGAAGCAGTAGCTGCAGAATCAAAGGAACACTGAAGTGCAGTTCTAGAAATCAGAGAACCTTCCTTCATCAGAGATTTGTATTGCTCTCTTCTGTTGTCTGGTATAATTTCAATAAAAGTCGACAGTTGGTCAAAGATGTGGTGCGTGTATTTGGAAAAAAAGTGCCACATAGTTGGCAATGCAGAGCTAGAGGCTGGCAGAGGAGTATGATCTCTTGCCCATGGCCTCAAGCCTCTTCCATTCCTTCTCATGTGGGGTACCCCTCTGGTTTGCCGCCTCTACCACTAGAGAGTTTGGAGAAGAGTAAATGAAGAGGAATTCCGCACCCTTTGGGGCGACAGTATTTTCAATCCAGTCTTTTCAATGTAGGTGGAATTGTCACCGGGGTCTTCCAGAGGAGCTTAGCTGGATCCATCAACGCCTCATTCATAGGTCTTGCAACCCTAGTTTGCGCGGAGGCATGAAGAATATTAATTAGCTTGTGCTGTTACCTTGTGCTTGTAGCCTGGCACCAAAGCTACTGACAACTCTGTTGTTGTAGTTAACTGTGGGAGGAAAGGAGGTGGAGCTATCGGTACCACAGTGCTTTGAATGGTCCGTGCCGGCAGCACGTAGGGCATCGAGAACATGCTTAGTGCTTCACCGGTGCTGGCTGCTCAGTAGGCCTTGCCTGTGCAGCTGACGGTACCGGCATGGAACGTGGCGTTGCTGGCACCCGCTTCTTCACTGCCAGCGACTTAGCCGGTGCTAGAGTGGCGGCTTGATCAATTAGCCTTGCCGTCTGACTCTCTGAAGCAGGGCAAGCTTTCTGCTTGTGCTCTCGGCTTTTATGGGAGCCAGCACTAGAGTTGTTAACTACCTCCTAGATAGAGTAGGGGCGGCAGTATCAGGTTTTGTGCTCGCCAGTTTCCTTGTCAGGAAGGTAGACCCCTGAGGAAGTGTGAGACCTCTTCCTCGCTGAGGGAGATTTTCCCTTGGGTTTTGGGCTTGCAGCTGAAAGAGCCCTTTCGCCAGCCTCTGCCTTTGATGGAGTTAGCCTGAAGGGCACGTTATGGAGAGATCTGATGGAGGTTTCAAGGCTTTCTCCATTTGTAAAATACGGACTTGAAGCTGTCTAGCTCTCCTTGCACCCTTAGTCAATTTCCTGCAATGCTGTATCGTAATCTTGAGTGAAGACTTATACTCAGTGGCTGTGTCTAGACTGGCAAGTTTTTCCGCAAAAGCAGTTGCTTTTGCGGAAAAACTTCCCAGCTTTCTACACTGGCCACTTGAACTTGCGCAAGAGCACTGACGATCTGATGTAAGATTGTCAGTGTTCTTCCGCAAATACTATGATGCTCCCGTTCAGGAAAAAGCCCTTTTGCACAAATGTATTTGCGCAATGGGACCACTGTAGACAGCTCAGGACTGTTTTGCGCGAAAAAGCCCCGATGGCGAAAATGGCGATCGGGGCTTTCTTGCGCAAAACCACACCTAGATTGGCACAGACGCTTTTCCGCAAAAAGTGCTTTTCCGCAAAAGCGTCCGTGCCAATCTAGACGCTTTGTTCCGAAAATGCTTTTAATGGAAAACTTTTCCGTTAAAAGCATTTCCGGAAAATCATGCCAGTCTAGACGTAGCCAGAGAGTGGCCGTCTGCAGGAGCAGCCCTAGATGAGCTGCCGGCAACTGGCGCCCTAAGCCTCCAAAGCCCTCAACAGCCGTTTATCTTGGCGCCCTAGGGGACCGCCTAGTTTGCCAGTATTGAATTAGCCACTGGCCGTCTGCTACAGATGTGGATAGACCGCAGTCCAAACACCTTTTAAACCCAGGTGAGCCGGGCACGTCCTGAGTGGTAGAAGTGGAAACAAGGCGGCTGCTATCAAAGCGGAGCCACAGGAAGCGGCGAAAGCGCTGCCTGACAGAAAAAACTCGTCGTTTTTTTGGTTTTTTTTCCAAAAAGGCTAAGTAAAGTCAATAAGAATAGCAATAGTTGAAAAGAACAAAAATAGGCTAACTAAAGACAGGTCAGTGTGTGAGGGCAACTGCTGTGCTGCGACTGAAGCCGGCGGTAGTCCGAGAACTGAGGAGCCAGCTGGCCGCACATGCGCAATACACACTCCAGGCATCTCGAGCCTGAGCCTCGCGTGCGTGGCCAGCGGGGCAGCGAGACACAACAGGACACTGCTACTAAGAATCTCTGACTTGTAGGTGCAGCGGCGCCGGCACGCCTAAAAGTGGAGCACCCACGGGGACACTTCTCGAAGACCCAAAGCTTCCGGTGGTGCTGTGTGTAGATCTGCAAGCCAGCAGCACAGCTGAGTGTTTGAGCCTCCCCCGTTATATGTGATATTCCATATTAAACAATGCCCCACCCTGCTCTTGGTTTTTCACAAAGATACTGTAGTGCTGCAGTATCTTTCCATGTGCACCTTGTGTTCTTCTTCCCTCATTTCTATAAGAGTTGCTGATTTAAGAAGGTTTCCCCATGGACAAGTTTATTTCTCCACACCTCTGCCCCAAAAACAATTGCCACAGGGCTCTGATTAATATTGCCCCAGTTAACAGAACTTCTAGTATATACCTAAGAACATAAGAACGGCCATACCGGGTGAGACCAATGGTCTGTCTAGCCCAGTATCCTGTCGTCTGACAGTGGCCAATGCCAAGTGCTGCAGAAGGAATAGAAAGAACAGATAATCATCAAATGATCTCGCCCCGTCACCTATTTGTACACAGGGGGTCTGGAACAATTTGTACAGGGGGGATGCTGAGAGCCACTTGCCAAACTGCAAACCCTGTATATGATTGACACCAAGTCGGTGAGCGTGGCTGCACCCCAGCACCCCTACTTCCAGCCCTTATGTTCCCAGCTTCTGGCAAACAAAGGCTAAGGACATCATCTCTGCCCATCCTGGCTAATAGCCATTGATGGTCTAGGCCTTCAGATGGAAGATCGTAGTGTGATCGTAGTTCGTTGTACTAGAACAATGGTGTACTTATGTTTATGGATAAACAGCCATTATAGAAGATAGTTATTTTGTGGCTGGTTAGAACAAGAATAATGTAAAGCAATAATTTCTACTGTATAAATGCAGTAGGAGGGGTCGTTTCAAACTTTCTTTTTATTATTTTTCCTGCATATAACTTGTATCATTAGCTGCTTATGCATCTTGAAGGGATTCATGATAGATAAAAAGGAAGTGCTGGTCTTTCAAACATACAGAATTTCCATTGATTATAAGATTAGTAAGGAGGAATAATACTGCAAGAGATTGCAGAAGCTAATGCTACTGTTTAATTAAAACCTATTAGAATGTTAATACAGTACCGTTTTATAAACTTAAGGTAAAACAAAGCCCCTGGGATTACAGCAAACACAGATTTTTCTTTTCAGTGATTCCCAAAATACGGTGATTAAAAAAAGCATTCTTACCTGTTTACAGGGCATAAATTCCATTCAGCCTAAAGTAGCCTGATTTATACATGTCTCAAGCACCTAATTTTGTCTGCACTTTTGTGTTTTAAATCCAGATTTTGCCACACATGCAAGTGCCTCAAAATACAAAGCAAAGCAGTGGCCTAAGAGAAGCTCAACCCATTCAAATAGTCAGGGCAAATAATATACAAGGAGGGCTTGGTAGAGTAGATTCCTCAGTGGGATTCATGACAAGGCCAAGATCTTGGAAATGCGGTTGCTTTTTTGGTGTGCTGTGAACGGCTTAATCAGCAAATACGTAACGTTTTTAGTTCACTTGTCTTACATCTAGATGTAGTGACGGTTGTACATGTAAGATGGGTAGAGACCGTCGTAGTGATATTGACGCCATTGCTCGATCTGTTCCCGGCTTCTCTCCTGCTGCTCTGTAGATGGGGAAACAAGACAATGTGAACTGTGATGCCTTTTCTGATAGTTAACTGATCTAATGCTAAGTGGGCTAGCAGCACTGTAATGATGGCAAGGCCTTGGTTGTCAAATTTCCAACTGGGCATACCTGGCTGTCAAATTGTGTGTGGCATATAAAGGGTCCCAACAAACTTCCCCAAAGACTGAGGGTTGGGATGTGGGCATCTGACTCATTATAAGTACAGCTGTCACGTGCAGCGTTCAGATCTGCATCTTCGCTTTGTGTCGCGGGTCCACCTCCGATTTGTGCGCTTTCCTCATCCCCAACTTTCAGCTGGATTTAACCCCCTCCCTCCCCAAACAGCTAAATGTTGATGCGAATCTCATTCCAAAGCACCAACTTGCACCCATTTTCATGATATATCAGTGTGAGGTGTCACTCAAATTGATTGACAGTAGGTGCGCCAGGATAGATGCCCACAGAGAGATTTTTTTCAGGGTTTTCTTGCAAACATCTAGCCAGCTCAGTTTTCTTGAAACAGGGTCTGGGTTTGTTCAGAAGGTTCATGAACACCAGCAAACCTTGCACCATTCAGAAATTCTAGATCAGGAGTGGGCAATAATTTTTGATGGGGGGGTGCTACTCCAAGATTTTGGAAAGTGGTTGAGGGCCATACTCTTCCATGATATTAACGGCGATGCGGGGTCTGGGATGGAGGTTGGGTGCAGAAGGGAGCTTGGAGTAAGGGACTGGAGTGCAGGAGGGAGACTGGAGTTTGGGAGGGAGCTGGGATGAAGCAGGCGGTTGTGACGTAGGGCAGGGGACTGGGGTGCAAGGGTTTGGGATGTGACCTACGGTAGGAGGGGATTGTGATCTGGGGCAGGAGCTTGGGATGCCAGATCTGGGAGGGGGTATGGGTGTAAGAGGGGGACAGAGGGTTTGGGTGTATTGAAGGGGGGCCAGAGAGTTGGGGCCGGAAAGGACTGGGGGGGGGCGGCAGAAGCAGGCAGTGGCCAAGAGACTTACTTGTCAGCTGCCAAAGTAGCCTGCCTGCCTGGCCATGTGCTTCGTGAATAACTGAGCCCAGGAGAGGGGGCGTGATTCTTCTTAGCTGGGAGTGAGTGAGTTGGGATGAAGCCTGTTATTCTGCCAGAAACCAGCCAATGGGAATGTGCTGGGGGCAGGGGGAAGGGGAAGGCGCCTAAAATGTCCCCCCTCCCCTGCAGTTTCAAAACAGAAATGGAGCCCTGCAGCTGCATTTCTGCACAGCTGTGTGGGGCAAGTGGGGGAGCCTGCCTGGGGCTTCCCGCTGCTTCTGTGGGCCGGATCCAGTGGCTTGGCAGGCCGGATCCAGTTTGTGGGCCGTATTTTGCCCAGGCCTGTTCTAGATTATAACAAAAAGAGGTAAAGCACATGGGCCTCTGCCTTTTGTTGTGAATATTTTTTACAGAATGACCCTCTACCTATCTCCAACATAGACTGGATCCAGGGTTGCTATTTCACTGTAACCTGCTTTGAGATCTCTGGAGGAAACGTGATACATAAGAGATAGGTATTATTTATTGTAATTGGAAAGGCAAATTACTTTGTCAGTGTTCTCCAAATAATAGCCTCTCATATTCTATAAATGTGTCTTTATGATTGTTCTGGCACAAAACCAAAAAAGTAATGACGATGAGGCAATACAAATAACTAACACCTTTGGGTGAGTTCTTACCATTACAATAATTTTCCTCTTTTAGAAGGACGTACAGCAGAGCTACTTAGAATTAGTCTTGGAGAGCAACCCTGATGTGAGGTTTCAGAAATATTTATTATGCCATCAAGGGCCAACCAGTCCCTTCCGTTGCTGTCTTCACCTCTTATCACTTCACTGAACAGTCATCCCACAAATGTTTTCCCTACTCACTCTACAGCAGGAACCAGCTGAAACAGTGTAAGGCCACTTGGTCATTTATTTAGAAAGCTCTGGAATGAGTTCTTACTGCAGGTAAAGTCTCCACTATACAGAAAAAGCACAGAGGAGCCGCTGAAAGACCATTGTCATAGTGCCATCCCCATTTCATAGTATCGCAAGTGCATCACATCTGAGCATTGGATTTACTTACTAGCGATGTAAGCGACTAGTCGACTAGTCACTCCCTCCGCCCTTGCTGCCGCTATCAGAGAGAGGCAGAGTAGCAGGAGGGGGTGGGGAAAGCCGGCTTAAAAGGCATAGCGGGGACCAGATGCTGCACCTCTGCTTTGTAAATGTATTAAGAGCCACCAGGCTCTTAATATATTTAAGAAGCAGAGGCACAGTGTGGGGACTGGGCACAAGTTGGGAATCAGCAGTCCCAGCTCGCACACGGCCGCCCCACTGCACCTCTGCTTTTTAAATATATTAAGAGCCGCCTGGCAGCTCTTAATATATTTAAAAAGCAGAGGCACAGCAACTGGGGCTGGGTGGGAGATGGGAATCAGCTGATTCCCGGCTCGCATCTGATCCTCCCCTCTGTGCCTCTGCCTTTAAATGTATTAAGAGCCTGATGCAGGAAAGATAAAAAATATGGGGCCTTTTTGTCTTGTGAAGAGAAGGCAGAGGGGAATATGTTAGCAATCACCAAATGTGTGAAGAGCTGGTTAAACACTGGAATAAATTGCCTAAGGGTATGTCTACACTAAAGTGTTATCTTATTTCAAAATAATGCATCTGCATACAAAATGCATTTCAAAATAGCATTTTGCTATTTCGAAATAGCGCGTCCACACTGAGTGGACTCTGAATCACATTTAAGGCCAGGCCGGAACCAGGTCTAGCAGGGCACCAGGTCAGGACTTACTGTGTGGGGCTGCTGCCTGAGGTTATCTGTGGTCTGTGCTTAAAGGGATCCCCCGGACAGCCAGTTCTCAGGTTTCCCTGTTTGCTTGTCTACCTCGATGAGGGATAGCAAAGCATTTTGTCTCTGCGTACTCTGAGTGCCCTCACTCGGGACACCACAGTACTCAGCAACATGGAGCCAGAGGTGCCTTCCAATTCTGTATTCTATGAAACAGACATTGAGCAATTGTTCTTCCTGGCCACTGAAGGTTTGACAAGAAATAATGGGATTAATTCGCAGCCATTGAGATTTAGATTAGGTGTTAGGTAAAACTTTCTAACTCTAAGGAAAATTTAATTCTGGGATCGGTTTTCAAGTGAGGTTGTGGAAGCCCCATCACTGGAGGGATTTAAGAGCGGATTGGACAAACATCTGTCAGGGATGGTCTAGGTTTACTTGGTAAATGTCGGGCGCTGGCCTTGATGACCTTTTGAGGTGCCTTCCAGACCTACATTTCTATGCTATGCTGCTTTGCTTTTCTCTAACATTGTTTATCCAGGAATCCTACCATGTATTGGAAGTATTAATTAACCAGGCTCCATAGTTCCTCTTTGATGTAACCTAACGTTACAGATGGATAAAGTAGGCAAGTCACTCACTGCTCAATGTCACACAGCAAGTCATTGGCTCATGTTCTGTGCTTCTGTTCCAATGTTTAGAGCACAGGGCTGGGAGTCTGGTCACCTGTGTTCTATTCCCTGTTCTGCCAAAGACCAGCTGTTTGACCTTCACCAAAACACTTACCCCCACCCACTTTCAGTTTATCCACATGCGAATCTTTAGCTGAGGGATGCAGGGAAATTGCTAGTGAAATCTGTCACTCACCTTGCCTGTTCCATGATACCACATGCAGCCAGCATTTCAAACTACCCACTTTTCAGCCTCCTTGGGCTTTGTGTCATGATTCTCTTGCTCCACACGGGCTGCTATTGTCATGCACATTCCTCAGACAGAAGTTGTATCATGCAGGACGCAAAATCTCCATTGAAACCAGTGGGGTTTCATTTATATGGGAGGTGGAATGCGCCCAAATGATGGCTTCTCGGAACTGCATGTGCCATGGAGGAGTTGCTGCTCATAGTGGCCAGCAGTGATTTTCTGAGAATTCTCAGCTGGCTGTAATGTATGGAAGTGAGGGACTTTTGGAGTTGAGTGCATGAGCCTCTATAGCCTGGGCTATAAAAGCCAGGTGGCTCTCCAGGAAGTGCGCGCCGGGACGCGTTAGTTCGGACTAAAGCCCTTAGTCCGAACTAATGTTACTCCTCAAAAAATGAGGGGCTTTCACATTGTTTATTTCCAATATGGTTCAGCATTCTCCCATGTACTATACAATGGACATCCCCAGCTACTGGTGATGCTCTAATTCTAGATAGGACCAGGTATGTATTGCCAAAGAGTGATTCTGTGGTGTCTCTTCACTGTCCCTGCCTAAAGGGGCAGCCACTGTGAAAATCATTCCCATGAGGTTTTATATATTGCCTTGAGATGAAAAGGGGATGCTGGAACAGGGCTTGTGTTTATTAGCAAGGGATTTTAGGAATGCAGAGTATCTCTTGGATTGCGTTTCCTCACTGCTTCTGTAACCCACACACCCACTAAGTGTGGTGCACTGTTCCATGTGGTGGCACTGAGACCGCTTACAGGGTACGTCTAGACTACATGGCTCCGTCGACGGAGCCATGTAGTCTAGACGTACCCTGTAAGCGGTCTCAGTGCCACCACATGGAACAGTGCACCACACTTAGTGGGTGTGTGGGTTACAGAAGCAGTGAGGAAACGCAATCCAAGAGATACTCTGCATTCCTAAAATCCCTTGCTAATAAACACAAGCCCTGTTCCAGCATCCCCTTTTCATCTCAAGGCAATATATAAAACCTCATGGGAATGATTTTCACAGTGGCTGCCCCTTTAGGCAGGGACAGTGAAGAGACACCACAGAATCACTCTTTGGCAATACATACCTGGTCCTATCTAGAATTAGAGCATCACCAGTAGCTGGGGATGTCCATTGTATAGTACATGGGAGAATGCTGAACCATATTGGAAATAAACAATGTGAAAGCCCCTCATTTTTTGAGGAGTAACATTAGTTCGGACTAAGGGCTTTAGTCCGAACTAACGCGTCCCGGCGCGCACTTCCTGGTTCGAATCAGCTGTGATTCGAACTAGCGTGCCGGCGAGATCATGTTAATGGAGCTCAGGATATTTAAATCCCCGCTTCATTAACTACTTTGGTTGTCTCCATTTGCATCCCTAGTTCGAACTAGGGATGCAGTGTAGATGTACCCTAAGGTAGCAGCCACAGGACTATCCGTTGTTTCTTGAGCAAAGAATTTGCTTGTGAGTTGTTAGGGGCAGGGACTGTAATTTATTGTGTTTGTACAGCACCTAGCGCAATATGGCCTTCAGGTGCTGCTACCGTATCAATGTTAAACAACAGTAATAATAATAACATCCTGCCAGCCTCCTAAAACATGGGTTCCCAACCTGGGGGGCATGCCACCCCTGGGGGGAGTGAAGAAATTCCAGGGGGGGCACGAGGCAAGCCAGCCCCACCCCTATCAATCCCCTGCCCTAAGTTTTGTTGCTATATTTGTGTTTTGGCCCTGGTCAGGTGCCTTTTTTTTTCCTCAACAAGTTTTGCTGCTATTGGAGGGAGGGGGCGTGTGGGTGTCTCAAAAATCAAAAAGGGGACGTGATACTGAAAAGTTTGGGAGCCACTGCTCTAAAGTTTCACATGTTGTTGGGGTTTATTTGTTTTTTCTGTTCTTACCTTTACGTTCCTCCTTGACAAAATTCTCAAACTCGTTCCTTTGCTCATCAAAGTACTCCCTTCTTTGCTCATCAGCGATCAGCATTTGCCGGGTCTCCGCTGCGTAAAAAATGTTTATCGTATCAGCAGCAAAGAAATCTTAAAAAATCAGAGCATAGCTTTTGTCTTCAAAACCCCATGAATCTGATTAGCACCCGCATCCAGAGATTTCACTAGAGGCGTAGTTGCTAAAGGCCTTGTTTACAGTAGGCTCTCTAAGAACTAGCTGTGATCAGCATTTCTTTATCCCATTGTGCGGATAATGAAACAATTGAGGCTAGTAGAGAAATTACTAGCTCCCATGTTACGCCTTTTAAACTCCATTGATAAAACACAGGTTGTTCTAATTCACAGGCGGCTCTAATTTAGTTTGGTGGATAACAGGTAGCATATTTATCCAATGAAAGAAACATAGGGGTCAGGGCATCTTTCTAAAACTTCAGGCTACAGAGGAGGGAAGATGCACCGGAAGCGTCCCCAGTATGCCTCACTTCTGATCTGCTGAGCACACTGCCTGACAGAACCACGTCTGGACATGCCCAGGGTATACTCTTCTGTTCATGCTAAATATTCCCATAGGATTAGTACAAAGAACATCAAGTTCCTCTAAACCGATAAGGGTATAATTGGAATTGTGCAGTGATGAAAGACTGGCAGTGTTACCCACAGTGCCAGCTGATGCTAGTGTTTGACAAGAATGTCCAGACTATCTGGAGTGGGAGGAAACTGTTCTGGTTCCCATCAGCCAGCGCCTGATTATATCTCTCTCTGAATGTAATGCTTTGTAGAACAAACCAGTGCTTGTTTGAAGGAGGGAGAGTAACCTAGTTTTCTGCCATGGTAGCATGTCGGTGTGAACCCATATTCCACAGCCGCTGTTCAGAGGCACTTCTCCGTCACTTAATAGTAAAGGAAGTGCTTGGCACTTAGCCCTTTGGGTTACAGGACACAAACATCATGAACCTGTTTAAAGTATGAAGCACTTCCTGCCCAGCCCATGTGTGCTGCACAAGGGGAGAGGGGAGGCCAGCAATAGTAAAATCATAACTGGGGCCCAGTATCGGAGCTACAGCTGTCCATCACCAGCTCACTAATGCATGGAAGGATAGATGGAGATTACGGATGAAACATCCTGTTTAACCTGTTGACCAATTAAAGGGAGGTGGGGTAGGTGGTGCCTAGGCCCACTGCGGACAGAGGCTACTCCAGACACCAGAGCAGACTCTGCCTGCAGGGAGTCCGCCACAGAGAGAGGCTGCTTTATTAAGCGTTAACCAGTTAACTGGTTAAACATTCACATCCCTAATAGAGATGTGGGTTCTTGGTTGAAATCAATTAAACAGGAAGGATGTACAATGACTCTGTGAATTCTGGCTAGACTTGGTTAGGGAAGAAGTTTTTCAGATCAGCTTTACTACTGCGAAGCTCTGTATCTCAGCCTGATCCCATACTGAACATCAGGCGGTCTTTCTATGGACCACCAGCCAGCCAGCCATGATGACAAAATGGGTGCTGGAGGGGTTGGGGCTGTGGGTTCTGGCTGGGAGATAGGGTGCAGGAGCAGGTTGGGAGTAGGGAGTCTAGGAGGGAGGGACAGTCCAGGAGCAGGGTGTGGATGTGGCATCTGGGAGCAAGAGTGGGTGCAGAAGGAGTGTGGGGCTGCGGGTTCTGGACATGAGGTAGGTGGGGCTCCCAGGCACCACCCTCAACTGCTCCCATGGGCAATGAGTCCTACCAATGGGAGCAGTGGATAAAAACCTCCAGGTAAGCAGTTTCCTGCACTGCTATTCCCCAGATAGAGGTGTGTGTTTGTGTGTGTGGGGGGAGGGGGAGCAACAGTACACAGAGACATGTTTTTCCTTTGCAAGTTGGATATGGCCCACAAGGCTCACTCCCTTCTCCCCCGCAGCGGGACGCTGACACTAGCACTTCAACCTCGCCGGGAGGAAGGGACTGGAATGTCAGCGCAGGCTCCCCGCTGGAGTGGAGGGGGCAAGCCTTGAGCCCACCTTGCAAGAAGGACCATCTTTTGAGAACCGCTGATCTATATGCTTATTACTCAATTGCATGGACACTCCCTGGTCATTAGAACGTAATTAAATATCCACAGTTAACAATATTACGCAGGAATCCCATGATATTTGTGCCCTATATTTTAAAGAGTTACCAGTTAAATCAGCCTCTTGAAGTGAGCGAATTCTCAGACTATTACTGAAAGGTTAACTTCTCTCCCAAGAGCCTACCTGAAGATTAGTTGACCCGCGGGACAGCTACATTCACAGACTTGAGGCTGTTATCCTCTCCTGTGCTTAATCAAGCAAGCCATGGGAGTTCAGTTGCATTTTCCATCCCATGTGGAAATAGAAGGGTGCTGCAGATGCCAGGTGCATATTGCTTAATGCTACATTTGCAAATGTTTTCCAAGAAGAGCTGAAAACATTCATTCAGCGCCAGGCCTACCTCCTGCTTGTTATTTACCAGCTTTCCTAAGAGGACTGTGTGAAAGGAGCTGAGGAAAGGAACTAAATAAGTCCCTCTATCCACTGCACCATGCTGTCCTGCACCGCCTACGACAGCCTGCAGAACTCAGCTTGCCACGCTATATCCCTCAGCCTTTGTGAACACCAAGGAATTCACACCCACTTCAGTTCTACTAGCCAGCTCCAAAAGAGATTTTGCTGATGAAAACTATTTCATTTTCCAAAGTTACCTCTTCCCTCATTTACAAAGATGCCAATGAACACATCTCATTTGGAGCATTCACTAACTCATCTCTTAGGCACACTCCCTAAATCTTCCAAACTGGAAGTCTGCAAAGTTCAATTTTTTATCTTTCTCTCCTATTATTTTTATTAAATTTATTAAAATTTAAACCCCTTTCTTCCCCCCCTCTAATCGTTTGGTTGTGCCCCAAAATTGCTATTTGTAGTTATATTCTATAATTTAAATTGTAACTACGAAGGAACCTGTTCTGAGCCAAAAGAAACAACCATCATTTTGATCAGTGAATAAATCCTTTTAGAGAGGGGCAGGCAACACATGACTGTCTGAAGGGAAGCGGTAGATGAAAGAGGGGCAAAGAAAATACAGCTTTCCATAAACACTCCCGAACAGCCTCACCATTGAGCTCGGCTCTGGATTTGGTGGCTCTTTTGCCACGCTTTTTGAAGAAGTTAGAGGCATCTGATTCTTGTATAAAAATCTTCTTTTTCACACCTGAAGGCAGAAAGAGCTCGATCAGCCACAGAGAATAAATAAGGGCATCAATGTACATATATGCCATATATGCAACTTTTCTCCTCCCCCCCTCCACCTAAAATTTGCATCTCCACTTACTTTCCTTGTCTTTTTCCCCAGCGGCTTTCCCGGTGCCCACAGCAGCACTGTCACTTTCCTGAAGAACTGGATAACAAGAGTACAAATACTGACTTCAGTGAAGAAATGCAGCATCCCACAGGAAAAACCTCAAGCAGATGTTGAAAGCTGCTACCTGCTAAAACCCTAGAAACTCTGCAGTCCAATAACAACCTGCCTGGGAAATTCACTTTTAAACAGCAAGAACAACAGTACATTCAGCAGCTATATAGATACATCTGTTTGTCTTCCCAATTTTTATTTTTTAGGAAAATAACCAATTAACAAGCCCTACAAAGACATTTAGTCCACTTTATCTCATTATATTTTTAAAAATCTGTGTTTTCTCAATATATTAATCCTTTAGAAACTGTGGATGAGATTAGATTCTCATTCTTTCTCATGCTCATTTGACTAGCAATGTAGAAAATAACTGTGTCCTTACAAGATGTTACACTAACAACACGAGTTCAGATTTGTATCATTCCTTGCTAAAATTCTATTCTGCTTTTTAGCATTGTTATTACTCTGGATCATACATACCAACCAAGAGTACAAATGTTGCAAGGCAAGAAAGAACAAGGATTTGTTTCCAGTTCATCTTTGTGGAGTTCCAGTTGATTCCTCAGAAAAATAGTGAATATCGCAACAAGTTTTTTGAGATCTGCCTACAAATTCCTCCTGTTAGCTGGAAAAGAAAGCAGGGCACTGGGATGTCACTGGGAGAAAGAGGAGGGGCGCTGGGTATAACTTCAGTTGGCTGCTCCTTGCTAGACCAAAGAGGTTTCAGGCAACTTGAAAACATCTAGATGAGACGTATTCTGTGCTCATCGGCATTTTGATGGAAATCAGAGTTACAAACGGACAAGCCATTGGGCCGGCCTGGCAGGGAGCTATTATAAGCAAAAGATTACGACAGCATATTATTTTTGTTGGCTATTGTATGTCGTTTAAAATTCAGTTAAACTCTGAGAAAAGCACCTTTGCACTAGACAGATCTACTTTCTGCCTGCATCAGAGCCCAATCTAGTGACGTTAATGACTATAATAAATTCGTAGTGCTTTTTAACTTCTGGTAACCCTCCAGAGTCAGCACAGCTAAGAAAGAAGGAGCCAGATTCTATTGCTGTGGGTGGTTTACTAGCAGAATGGTTTATTATGTTCCATTCTTTTACACCTGTGCAAGTGCCCCTAAAAACCATGCCGCTGCACAGGTGTCACAGAGAACAGAAACATTAAGACGTGAGTTCTCAGTTGTACTAAGAATAAGAACGGCCATACTGGGTCAGACCGAAGGTCTAACTAGCCCCAGGATCCTGTCTGCTGACAGTGGCCAATGCCAGATGCCCCACAGGGAGTGAACAGAACAGGTAACCATCAAGTGATCTCTCCCTATCACCCATTTCCAGCCTTTGACAAGATCCCTTCACATCGAGCTGGCAGCATAAAGGAGCCTTACAATTGGTGTACAGGCAGTCCCCGGGTTACATGGATCCGACTTACATCGGATCCCTACTTACAAACGGGGTGAGGCAACCCCGCACTAGCTGCTTCCCCCCAGCAGACCAGGGAGACGCGAAGCGGCTTTTCTGAGCAGACACCTCAGCTTGAGAATAAAGGACTGAGGGAAGTGAGGTGTGGGAGAATAAAACTGAGCTCTGAAGAAATGTTTGGCTAGAGTTTCCCCTACAATATGTACCAGTTCCGACTTACATACAAATTCAACTTAAGAACAAACCTACAGTCCCTATCTTGTACGTAACCCAGGGACTGCCTGTATATTACATAGTGTCTGGAATTATATCCCTCTGATCATCTGGAAAGCCATTAAGCATGTGCCCAAAGCTGGGAGTATGTAGCAGCAGCCCAGTTAAGCCTTGTTTATCATAAAAGCATGTCAAATATCAAAATCGTTTGGGTACTGCTGGGAGGAGTTTGGCTCCTTAATGGGTCTGATGCAGGTCAAGAGATATGATCTCATTTTAGAGAAGAATTTTTGGGAAAATTTGTGGCCCAGGTAACCAAAGTTTTAGGGTAACACTCTGCCTGATATTTGGATAGAATTGCCTGATTTCTTGAGGAACTCTAAAAAGATCTGCGTATTGCCTAGAACAGTGTTTCTGAAAGTGTTCCGTGAAATCACTTTCAGAAACACATTAACTGGACACACTGGTTTGTTTATTTACTGGTGCTGCAGCGATGGAACTTCGTGGCTCCCCATGGCTCCGTTTTGTCCTTTGCAGCCAAAGGGAGCCGCGGGAAGTGGCATGGGTCGGGCCACCACTTCCTGCAGTTCCCCTTGGCTGCAAAGGATGAAATGGAGCCAATGGGAGCTGCAAGGCTCCATGGCCACGGTGCTGGTAAATAAATAAACTGGGGTGGCCAATTACTGTGTTTCTGAAAGTGATTTCATGGAGCACTTTCAGCAACATGATCTGTGGAAATGGCTTTCAGAAAATTACCTCCTAGAAACAAGACTGACAGATTTTCAGGCCAGAAGGAACCATTACAGTCGCCTATTGCATAACACAAGCCATAAAATGTCACCTAATGGTTTCTGCATGACGCCCAACTTTAGCCTGATATCTCTAAGGAAGACATCCAGGCTTGACTAACAGACTTGAAGAAGTGGAGAAAATAGCACATCACTTAGTAGGTTGTTCCAATGAGTAAGTACCCTCACTTTTAAAAATTTGCATCTCTCTTTCCCATGCTGAATTTGTCTAACTTCAGCTTCTAGACATTGGATCTTGTTATACCCTTGTCTGCTAGATGTAAGAGTTCTCTAGTAACAAATATCTGTACTTTCTGCCATATCAGTATATAAATCTATGTATAGAAGGAAATTGTAAATTCCAGAAATTAATTCTAGGAAGGTAGAGGGGAAAGCTGCAACATGATTTAAAGTCGAGAAAGATAGAAATTAAGTTAGTGGCATCAGTTCATAGCTCCTCTTATATCAGAAGGGAGCATAGAAACAACCTGATTGAAGGGAAAGGGGTGTTTTACATAGAAAAAGGGGTGAGCTCTCTCTTTCAGGGGTTAATACCAACAGGCAAAGATTCACACACTCTACTGGACAGTCTGAGGTTCAGAATAATTGTGTTGGCAGTAGTCAGGTAATGGAATATACATGACGGTGTGAAAATAAATAATGTGAATGCTGGAGCTGTGCTCCTGGCATAGTCGCCTGAGGACTCAGTGAATGAATGGTTTGTATTCTGAATTCCCTGCAGGCCTTGACATTCTGGCATGAACTGGGCATCACACATCTAGGTACTGTGTGCAAAATGGATAAGTCACCAGACCAGTCTGATCCTGGACCCCGTCTGCTTTTACTCATGATGAATTAACCACCATTAAAAAGAAAGGACAAATATCAGCGTTGTGTGTCCTTGATTAAAACGATGTGCTTATAAGCTATCTAAATAATTAACCATATAAAGTTATTCCATCAGGGCATGTTGGTAAAAACTAGGAATGTAAGCAACTAGTGATGCAACTAGTCACCTCCCTGCCCTTGCTGCCTCTATCAGAGAGAGGCAGCAAGGGGGGGAGCAGGAGCCGGTGCTGGGGGGAGCCAGCTTAAAATCCAGTTCCCCCAGCACCACCTCCGCGGAGGGGAGGGGAGGTAGAGGCACAGTGGGAAACAGTGCAAGCGGAGACTGAGTTCTGCTGCAATTCTGCTTTTGAAATGTACAAGAGCCCTGCATCCTGATTTCAGTAAAGGCCAATACCTGAAGAAGATTAAGAGCCAACAATGGAAATCGGAAAAGTTCAGAAATTCTATCCTTACATTCCAAAGCATGAGATGTTATTAAACTTATTATTTCATAAAGGAGACGCCATAACTAATGAGCATAAAGTTAGCAAGACAAGGCAGGTGAAATAATATTTTCACCTCTGTGTGGCTTGAAAGCTTGTCTATGTCACCAACTGAAGCTGGTTCAGTAAAAATATTACCTCACCCACCTTGTCGCTTTAATAGCCTTGGACTGACACAGCCACAGCCACAGCCATGCTAAATAAAATTAGCAAGTTTCCCCTTACCCCCGCTCCGCAGAGTTGGCTTGTTGCCAGGGTCAGTAACTGAAAGGGAGGCTTTCAAGAAAACCCTGTGATTCTGGAGGAAATATTACTGGCGGTTCATCAGTAGCTGGTGCTCTTCCGTCTGAGTACTGATCCAACCTAGCAGCAGTGGGATCTACGCTGCTGGAGGTACTTTAGTTTTCTGGTTGCATTATTAAACAAAGTTCTTGATCGTTTGTCATTCTGAACTATTCCACGGTATATTTTGCAATAATAAGGAGAGTTAATCCATTTTTTTATACACTCAGATACAATGGTGATAAAATACCTGAACAAACAGATTAGATTCAATTCATTACATTCTGTTTATGTACACTCCTATAATTTCAATATTCTTCCTCACCTCTTCATCAGAATTGCATCACGCACCAGAAGTGGCTTAGTGACTTTTGTTACTAAGGATGAAAAACATTTTCTGTGGTAACTCAGGCTGTCTCTACACCGCAAAGAAAAGTCAGAAAAAGATACACAAATTGCAATTTGCGTATCTTTTTCTGCTTTTCTTTCGGAAGAGGCTTTTCCGGTAAAATTTAGAAAAAAACTCTTCGGCACATCCCTTCTTCTTTGTACAACAAGGTTTACAGGGATGGTGAAAGAATGCATCCACTTTTCCAAACATTTTTTGGGAAAAGCAGACGCGTTCCTTGGACACGGAGCTTATCCTGGAAAAGCTCTGCAGTCGAGATATACCCTCACCATTTAAACATGCTCATAATTTTTTAAGGAACTTTTGAGCACATTTTCCATTTTTGCTCTCCACCTAAAGGTAAACTTTCTTGGACAATTGAAGCTAAACTTACCTTCCTGCCTTCCTTTCTTCCTCCAGCACAAATGAAAAAATATTTAATAAAGAAAATGTTTTGTCCACATGAGTAGAGAAGAATTGGTTGAAGCTTGAAACATGGCCAGGGCATAATCCAACTAAAGAATAAGATATTGTTTTATTTAATTTAACAAAGGTAAGCAGCTGCAGTATTGCCAGCCCCAAGTACAGGCAGTCCCCGAGTTACGCGGATCTGACTTACGTCGGATCCGCAGATACAAATGGGGATTTTCTCGGCCTGGAGTAAAAGCAAGCATTTCATCAAACTTTACCTAACACTCCCCTGCCCCAGCCCTATTAACTTGAAAGAGTTTACAGCTTTCAACCACAGATTGTTGTCTGACCAGAAATATCATGGGACACATCTTTTACTTATTGATCCTTCATGAAATCATAGACATTAGAGTTGATAAAAGACATGATGTGATCTACTCCACTGCCAACACAAGCTCACTTCTGCTGTGTATTTTCTAGTGCAGTGGTCCTCCAAATGCAGCCCTTGGCGCTGCTTCTGTCACAATGGCGAAACATCAGTTACTCTGCAAGCAGTGACACTTTCCTGCTACAGTACTTGTAGCCCAGCACAGGACTCTTTTGAGAGTTCCAGGGGGTATTTTGATCAACTAAATTCAGAATAACAAGTGTGTATCTGCAGCCTACACAGCTGCTTCATGTCTTTTTTTGTTGAGTGTTTCTTTGGTGTAAATCCAACCATGATCAAAACTGGAGATTAGCAAACACTGGAGGACAAACACAAACTGCAAAAAGACGCAGAAAAGCAACAGGGTGAGGAGAGGGGAGATTCAGTACTAATAAAATCCTTTAGCCAAAGAGAATAAATAAACAACACAGGCACAAAATGGCTCGACAGTCTACTTTTATGCTGTCCGAAAAAATGTTATGATTGTAGCCAAAGCACTCTGGAGAACTATGAAGTCAGAAGAGTTGGGAGGATAATACAAAAGAGGATTTGCATCTTCTTTCATGAATAAACATAGCAAGTTTATTGTGCATTTGTTCATGGAATTATATTTTTGCATGATTGTAAGTACAGGCAGTCCCCGGGTTACGTACAAGATAGGGACTGTAGGTTTGTTCTTAAGTTGAATCTGTATGTAAGTCAGAACTGGTGTCCAGATTCAGCGGCTGAATCTGGATGCCAGTTCCGACTTACATACAGATTCAACTTAAGAACAAACCTACAGTCC